GAGGCTCCAGTACTTTGGCCATCTCATGAGAAGAGAAGACTCCCTGGAAAAGCCCCTGATGTTGGGAAAGTGTGAAGGCAAGAGGAGAAGGGGACGACAGAGGATGAGATGGATGGACAGGGTCACCAAAGCGACCAACATGAATATATCCCAACTCCGGGAGGCTGTGGAAGAGAGGAGGGCCTGGCGTGCTCTGGTCCATGGGGTCACAAAGAGTCACGAAGTACTGGCACCTCAACTTCAGGATCTGTCCTTCCAGTGAGCACTCACAGTTGATTGCCTTCAGAACGGATAGGTTTGTTCTCCTCGCAGTCCAGGGGACTCTCAAGAGTCTCCTCCAGCACCACAATTCAAAGGCATCAATTCTTTGACGGTCAGCCTTCTTCATGGTCCAGCTCTCACTTCCATATATCAATGACAGGCTATCTTCACATATATTTGGACCGTGACTCACAGCTCTCAAATACTGTCAGCCTTAGAGAGCAGGATTCTCCTGTGCCAGCGATTCAAAATGCTTAGGAGCCCCACTCATTACGGTACGACTCTTCCTGCTCCTTATCTTAAATTATACTGCTGAAATTAAGAAAGCTTGACATAACCAGGAGTAGGCACTGTTGTATCAAGGCTGAGCCCTCCTTTTTGTTGTGGAACTTAAAATAAATTCCTGGGCTTGGAAATCTTTAATTCTTTCTCATTAATTGATGCCTTTTCACAAAGGTTTGGTTGGTGGAACCCAGTGTCTATTTTTTTAAAAAGGACATCCCAATATAATGATATTTATAACTCATGTTTAAACTAGGAATGGGATAACCCTGTAGTATTTTAAAATTCTTGTTGATTTAGGCTGCCTTGACAGAATGGAAACTCAAGAGGTCCTTCCTGATCAAGGAGTTATAAAATACATCAGATTTCTCGCTTCCGTTTGAGAACAAAACAGTCTCTTCTCTTCCAAGGTCTGTGTAATTCACTCAAAATGTCTGTAGTTGACCTTTCCCATTGAAAAATAAAGTAGATAGATAGATAGATAGATAGATAGATAGATAGATAGATAGATAGATAGATAGATAGATAGATAGATAGATAGATAGACAGACAGACAGACAGACAGACAGACAGACAGACAGACAGACAGACAGACAGACAGACAGACAGACAGATAGATAGATAGATAGATAGATAGATAGATAGATAGATAGATAGATAGATAGATAGATAGATAGATAGATAGATATGCAGACCCCAGCAATCAGCTAGTCCTTCTGCGCATGCTCTTCATATATCAGATTTTTGCACAAAAATGAGGCACTTCTGAGCAAAAGATCCGTCTTCCAAACACGAGGACTTGATATCAAAACACTATTATGACACTAGTTTGAAGCATGGTTATAAGTCTAATGGATTGGTTTGTCTCTAGGCTAATTAAGTACCAACTTTTAGGGTGTCCAAAAAAGAGAGGGGCCACCTTGTTCACTGGGAAGCAGATTTTATAAATTAATATTTTGTCCCATTGATCCTTCTTCTAGTTTAAAGAACGGTTGGCCTCCATGGGCAACCTTTAAAGAGGTCGCTTGCTTAGACGTGGGAATGATTTTTGTCAAAGTGCTGCCTGTGTAGGAATCGGCTGGAAACGGTTCCAAACTGATGCACTTTGAGGGTCAAATATTTCCTAAAGTTTGTCTGCAACAAGTAAATGAATTCAATGCTCCTTCTGGAGTGGAAGTTTAAATAACTAAATAAATACGCCTGCATGCCCAAGGGTCAAAGTCTACCCGCATAGCTTACCTTGGCATTCCCGGGTACTCTGCTGGGCCATGGTGTCTGGCGGACAGGAGCTAAAGCACTTGCCTTTGTACAGATAAAATTGCTCTTTGCATTTCATGCAGAAGTCTTTGCTGAAGCAGCTTTCACAGCTGGGTGACCGGCATTCTGCAAAGGAGACCGAGAAACGAGCGTCAGTGCCCAGCGGGACAGGAGGATGGCCAGCAGAAGGCTCGGAGTTCCTTGCTAAAAAGGCAACTTTTCCAAGTTTTGCCATTTCGTAAGTTTAAACACTCATCTGGTCTTGTTTTACATTTCTAATATATCACATTTTGTGGCTCCTGACATTGGCTCCAGATTACATCTGCTGTTTTGCTGTTTCATATTACCATTGCTATATTTTTAATGGTTTTTGTAGATTATGTTAACTTCTTTGGGAAACTGAACGGGAAGGAATGGTAGGCGCCATATTTTTAATGGTTTTTGTAGATTATGTTAGCTTCTTTGAGGAATGGTAGGCACCGGCCTGCAATCCTGTTGCACAGCTCTGCCTGCACAGCAGGGATGATGTCACTGGCAATGGCAACTGGCTGCTCATTAAAGGCTTCCCTTTATGATTTCTGGGGTGTGCACAGCTCATAACGCAATGTGGTTAAGTGGCATGCACGCTGAAATGGCACGAAAAAAAATCTTTCATCAGTGGCCATCTGCTGCTACCAATAATGTCACTTCTCTTCTGTAGTAAGGCAGACCCTGCCCAGATGGGTTTCAGCCAGTCTCTCTGTAGTACAGAATGGTAGAAAGTCACTGGCTGAAATCCTGCTGAGTACGTGAGCATATCTGGAGATGATGTCATCTGCTCATAAAGCTACTCCTAAATTTAATTCAGCTGAAAACCCCTTCAGGTTCCAAGGCTCTTTAGGGATGCCTTTTGACCTGGGTAGGTGGGTACATCCATCATGTGATTGCCAGGCAAAGGAGCGAACCAGCCCCTCGCCAACCTGGACCAAACCGTGGAACAGTGGCCTGATTAGTTGCACCCTAAATCAAAGGAGGAGAACAGTGGCCTGATTAGTTGCACCCTAAACAAAGGAGGAGCATGGTGGCGCTGCGGGTTAAACTACTGAAGCCTCTGTGCTGCAAGGTCAGAAGACCAGCCATCGTAAGATCGAATCCACGCAACGGAGTGAGCTCCCGTCGCTTGTCCCAGCTCCTGCCAACCTAGCCATTCCAAAGCATGTATAATGCAAAATGCAAGTAGATAAAGAGGTACCACCTCGGTGGGAAGGCCACGGCGTTTCATGTCTAGTCGTGCTGGCCACGTGACCATGGAAACGGTCTTTGGACAAATGCTGGCTCTACGGCTTGGAGACAGGGATGAGCACCACGCCCTAGAGTCCAACACGACTGGACAGATTTACCTTTACCTAAATCAAATGAAGGTCAATGAGGAGGTGCATCATCAAAACCCATATGTTTGTCCTCAGGCACTTACTAATGCATCGGTTGACCTCTTGGCCTCGGACTCCGAAGTAGCCCGGCGGACAGGAGTGGACACAGGCCCCATATTGGCGTATCCCGTCCCTCCAGATGAGCAGGAAGAGCCTCTGCTGGCAGGAGATGCACCCGTTGTCCTCCGAGCACATGATGCAGCCAGTGCAGTTCTCAAATAGGGCGGCGCCCACTGGAAGACAAAGGGGAGCCGAGATGCCACTTAGCAACGGGCAAAGGGAAAGTAGCAAGAGCAAACCTTTGGCACCAGGTTCCTCTAAATTTGTTTTAAAAAAAAAAGGCAAGATGCATTGTGGCTCATTTTCAACACTAATCTTCTGGCAAATGGGCAGCTGACCCATCTTTTGCTGTCTGAAGCAACAGCCCAGATGGTATCCACATACAGGAGCTGAACAGTCATGCAGCTGAATCTTCCTTCTGCATTGGCAGCCTCTACTGCCCTGAGACCAACCACTTAGATTGGCTCAAGACAGACAATGGGGGAGAACCGTTCTCTGAGACAGTGGTGCCCAACCTTGGGTCCCCACCGATGTTCTTGAACTGCAACTCCCAGAAGCCTTCACCACTCGCTTTTGCTGGCCAGGATTTCTGGGAGTTGTAGTCGAAGGACTTCTGGGGACCCAAAATTGGGAACCGTTGATTTAAGACTCTGCCACGACTGTCCACCTTCCAGGAAATGCTACCCAAGGAAGACGATAGGGCCGGCCAGAGCCAAATCCGTTGTTAGCTCTTTGGAGAGAGTGTGGAAACGTGCCATAATTATCAATCCTTAGAGCAAAATGTAATTTGTTAATGTTAAACCCTTAAGGAGATTTAATAAGCATTATCAATTTGTTAATTATCAATCATTAGAGCAAAATGTAATTCGTTAATGTTAAACCCTTAAGGAAATTTAGTAAGCATTATCAATTTGTTAATTATCAATCATTAGCGCAAAATGTAATTCTAAGACTCTGCCACGACTGTCCACCTTCCAGGAAATGCTACCCAAGGAAGACAGTAGGGCCGGCCAGAGCCAAATCCGTTGTGTGCTCTTTGGGAGAGAGCGTGGAAACGTGCCATAATTATCAATCATTCGAACAAAATGTAATTCGTTAATGTTAAACCCTTAAGGAAATTTAGTAAGCATTATCAATTTGTTAATTATCAATCATTAGCGCAAAATGTAATTCGTTAATGGTTGTTGTGGGTTTTCCGGGCTCTTTGGCCGTGTTCTGAATGTTTTTCTTCCTAACATTTCACCAGTCTCTGTGGCTGGCATCTTCAGAGGACAGCAATCTGTGCTCTGGTGTAGTTGGCTTGGGAGTGACAACTTCGTTAATGTTAAACCCTTAAGGAAATTTAGTAAGCATTATCAATTTCTTAATTAGCTTGCTGAATTGTTAGAATGACTAAAAATGACCCATGATGGATTAAAAGACGGAGAAACGTTAACTTTTACTTCAAAATAATAGTGTTGGTGTTTAAAACTTAAAATGTGAAAGTAGAGATGGGCACGAACTGTCAATTCGGCAGTGCCGGTTCGTTTCGCGGCTGAACAAGTTGCTGTCCTCTGGCAAGCCCCCACTCAGAGGTGGCACCCAGAGGAGGCAGGGCAGGGAATCCAGGGTGCTGCGTCTGAGTGGGAGCCTGCTCAGGGAGGCAGGGCTTTGAAGGGCTGAACCTCTGTTCAGTCACGAAACGAACTGCGACACACTGTCAAAATGGTGGTTCGTGTCTACCTCTATGTAAAGGTAATTGTTGGTGTGTTTTTTTAAAAAAAACTTTATTTATTTATTTATTTATTTACAATTTTGGGTTAGGAATTCCTTTTCAAGAATCATCTTTGAAACAAATCAGGAAGCTTCCATTTCAGTGGGTTCAAGATGTAAACCTGCGCGTGCTGTATTTCTTCCTTTAAAAACGTAGTTGGATTTTTAAAAAGAAGAGGTAGCAAACAGATTCTTTGTCTTCCAGCAAAAGCGTCAAAGAGTCCGGCTACCTTGCATGGAGGAGCAGGAGTGGGATGGTTCCTATGTACAGGAATGTAGAAGCCACTGGCAAACCTGGAATGGGTTTTGAGGTTGGGGACAAGAAGAACGCTGAGGCTGTGAGCTTCACAGCTGAAGTGATATCAATTCCTTCCACGTAAGACATTCAGCCCTGAGCCTAAAATTACACCGCTTCACTTTTACAGATACTCCTGGGAAGTCTGCAAGCAGAACATAAGGGCATTAACACTCTCCCATTTATGCCTCACCCCACACATTCGATGTGCATCAATCTGTCAGAGTTTTATTTGCAACCTCGCAGGCTGCCTATAGTTTGTGTGACTGGGATCGACTTTCCTGGGCTGGAGTGAGTGTCTATTTATCCAGTACTAGCCAATAGTTCCTTCCAGACTTTGAATTCAAAGAGAGCCCCACCTCTCCGATGAGTGTTGTTTCCTGCCTCTCTATAGTTTGTTGGTGGCAGTTGTTTGTTTGCTGTTGTTCTGTTTGTTTGGTTGCTAAGCATGTGTGCAGTAGAGAAAGCAGCATACAAAAGTCTGTAATTTCAAGTCACTGTAAGTGCAGAAATGGTTTTACTCTTTCTCCTACAATGTCTCAGAGCGAGTTATTGAGACTTTGAGTGCCAGTTAATGAGAAAAGGGTGGTCTTTGGAGAACTTGGAGCTATTTTCTCCTTTGAGTCTCTACACTTCTACTGTACAGCAAAAAAGGAATTTTACCAGAAATTCAAAACTCTGCAGCACAAACATGTACAGGGGTCAATGGGCAGGATCCTAGTGTGTAATTAAGTGCAGAAACTGCTACAAGCATCTGATCAAGTGCAGGTCACGTTCCTGGCCTAGTGCGAGTGATAACCTCTGTCAAATCAGCACGACAGCGTCCACAGCATCATGAATCACAAGCCGCTTCAGGACACATAACTGCATCAAACCATTTTAGAAATGGTTTGATGGCTGGAATGATTCTAAGCAATTGAACAAGATTTTAAAAATATATTTAAAAATCTGTTAGCCCCCCCCCAACAGAATGGGACGATGATAGGATGACAGCGCCCCACTTGATGCAAAAATGAGGCGTCAGCTGGTCCTCTATATTTGGACCCATCGCTATATCCTGTGGCAGGGAATTATGGCGACTAAAATATTTACATCTTTTTCTCTGCTCTGAATCTCCCACCCTTCAGCACCCGCTCCTAATATTATAAGAGTGGCAGGAAAGCTCCTCCATCTTCCATTTTTCTGTATTATGCACCTGTTTTATGCTCCTCTAACTTAAAAAAAAAGCTTTTATATGTTGTGACTGTTCTTTGCATGGGAATCGGTTCACTACAGTTGACCTTCTCTTCTTCTTTTCCAGCGTGTTTAAATACACCCCAGACCTAATTTGGCACAGGCCTTTGAATGCGAACCATCACTCTTACTAGGCTTCTTCCTTGATTCATAACAGAGTGCGGCCAATTTAAAATTATGGGCATATATGAAATTCAGGGAATTTTTGTTAAAAAATTAAAATGTTAAGATACCTGGCCTATTTTTGACCAGAAGCAGGCTACTTCAAGAGCATTATCTCGGCCGTTGGCTAGATCTTCTTGTGTACACGTGGTGAGGCATAAATTGCATACACAGAAGTGTTGCCTGGATTGAATTTCTCCACAATCACAGAACAATTGTCCTGTATCCAAGTAGACCCACTTTACTTGATCATGTTTTGATCTTCATACTTTGCTTCAAAGTCTACCCAGTGACTTCCAGAAGGTTCCAGCCAGAATCTTGTCCTGATGGGAGACACTCTTCAGCATTCATCCTTTCGGCCGGGTATGTTGCTTTCGTTCTCTCTAAATTTAGCATGGCCTCTTCTGGTTTAATATTTAGAGCTAGAGAGAGTGCCGAAAACTTTCCCTTGATTTAGGGGATCGGTATCCGAAGTGCTGTCTTAGCTTATTTCGTTCATTATTTTCTCGCATCTCTCATTATACTTCCAGAGGGTGAACACCAGACAAATACAGTGGTGCCTCGCTAGACGATGATAATCCATTCCACTGAAATCGCTGTTTAGCAAAATCATTGTCTAGCGAAAAGCATTTCCCCATTGGAATGCATTGAAACCTGTTCAATGCATTCCAATGGGGAAGAATCGTCGTTGTCTAGTGAAGATTGGCCATAGGAAAGTCGCTTTGCGAATAGCCGATCAGCTGTTTAAATCGCTGTCTTGCGAAGCTTAGGTCCCGAAAACACCTGTTTTGTGTGTGCGGAGGGAGTAAAAATCATCTAGCGAAAATCGGTTTGCGAAGCAAGGACCAAACATTGTCCAGCGAAATTCCCCCATAGAAATCACTGTTTTGCGAATTGCTATAGCGATCGCAAAAAGTTAACGTCTAGCGAAAAAACTGTCATGCAGGGTAACTGTCTAGCGAGGCAACACTGCAATAGACCTTTTCGTTTGTGTGTGCGGAGGGAGTAAAAATCATCTAGCGAAAATCGGTTTGCGAAGCAAGGACCAAACATTGTCCAGCGAAATTCCCCCATAGAAATCACTGTTTTGCGAATTGCTATAGCGATCGCAAAAAGTTAACGTCTAGCGAAAAAACTGTCATGCAGGGTAACTGTCTAGCGAGGCAACACTGTAATAGACCTTTTCAATGTTAACAGGTTTCAGGCAGTCAGTAAGAATCCTGCATCACCCATTAAAAGCTACTTGTTTGGTTTATTAGGTTTTACTAGCATCGTCAATGCTGTTCCTTGGATTTGGGCAGACCTTGTATTTTCCCTTCCCTTCAGTGAAGCTCCATATGCCTACATCAAGTCTGAGCTACATAACGGGTTCACAACTTCAAAAGGGCTAAGTACATTTTTCCCCCCAACCCAGAACCCAACAATTTTCTCTTGTCTTCTGTGGTTTATATGCTGCCTTTCTTCCAGAACGGGGACCCGGAGTGGCTTATGGAACAGTTTGGAGCAACAGAAGAATTTAAATGCAATAAAAATCACACGCGGTAAACTTGGGTTAAATTAGATTATAAAAATTAAAATGCAAATGCAATTAAAACAAAAACTCTTTAAAAATAGTAAAAATAGGAATAATAACAAAAAGGCTGTCTTTATTCCTCCAAATGAGCAAAAAGTGCAAAAAAATAAATAAATAAAAACTGAATGTTTTGGTAAGTCCATTTCCAACGTGTCTTA